CTGTTTGTTCCTCACGGAAGAACAACCGAAATTCGCTTGGTTGGAATATGTCAGCAAATTCAATCGACTGGTCACGAATGCTTCAGAGGCGACAGTAAGCAAAGGACCTTAAACAGTTTCCTTCGTAAGAATCAAAACTGGAAAATGGGTGGCAGTGCGCAACGCAGCATAGTGAAAGTATAAACCTTCAACGCCCAATACTTGCGTCAGATACACAGCCCTGTCTATCCACTGCACTCAACTGCTCAGAGATGACAAAGTCGCATGTCAGCAGAACATGGCGAAACATTTCAGAGCTGAGCACAAACCGCTTTCCAAGCATGTTAATGGCCCACATGAGGTGCAACAGGGAATTATTCTAAACCGGACAGCTAATGGTTCAACAAGAATGGTCACAGCAACAACAAAGGCATCGCGGACGAAATATGCTCTTGAAGTTCAGAGTGTTACAGCATCAGGTGATCTTTCAGCTTTGCTGCGCGGCCGATGGCACTCAACTACATGTATTTTACCGCTGAAGCTGTCTTGGAAAAGTTAAAGTCTCTGCACATTCATAGTTTCCCTGGTGTCGAAACCATTCACCCATAAACAGTGGGAGAGGCATCAAGACAAGTTGAAGAAACTTTGCTTAGCTCTTTCAGCACTGAATAAAAGAAAACCAGGTGCCTGCCATCTGAATACTTAACTAAATATAACTCCGATTTACAAATGTGGAAGTAGAACTGTGCCCTTACAAACCGCCTAGTATAACTTCTTCCTTACTGTCCAAGGTCACGGAATCCTTCAAAACTGACGCAATGGTCTGTTATCTGGACAAGTGCAACCTTATTGCTATCGCGCAGCACGGATTCCGAAACAGCCATCGTGCGCAACGAATTAGTTAACTGTACGGAGTAGTTGGACCGAGTCAGCTAACCCTGACGAGGAGGTCATCATGATTTACTTAAGTTTTTCGAAAGATTCGGCCTTTTAGATCATCGGATTTGCCTATCCAAGCTGTAGTATTACGACATTGATGGCGCTAACTCGACTTGGGTCGCCAACTTTGTCCTTCAACGCAATTAGTGGTCAGAGTTCGGCGCTGCTTATCTGACCCCATAGAATCCTAATGTGGTGTGCCTCAGGGCTCAGTTCTAGGGCCGGGATTATTTTTGGTATTAATTAATGGCCTTGAAAAAACAATATTTTCAAATTACCTAGTGCTTGCCGACGGCATCAAGACATGAAATATTCAAGTGATGACCGACAAGTATCTGCTTCAGAGTGACCTAAATACGGTACCTCAGTCGTCAATCCAAAATTTATTGCAATCCAACGTGGGTAAATGCGGCGAAAGCTCCAAAAAACAGTCTAGAAACACTAATGCATGTGAGCAATGCAAGTACTGCAGCAATCTTCCATTGAAAGCTTACTTTGTCTGTTGGTTCAATTGGGTCTCTACAAACAATCCGAAAAGACGTCAGAAGCCAGAAACCAACACATCGGGCTATTGCGCCGAGCGTTAGGAAAAATACACATCACCATTTTACGATAGATGCCCGGTGCGTATGTTTGACCCCATGTCGAATAAGCAATTCAAGTCTGGCATCCATGGCTGAAATACGACTTCATTGCACTGCAGCAGACTCAAAGTGGGACATCCACTTAGCTCATAAGAATGAGCAATCTACCATACGCGTAGAATCTGAAACGTGTGGGGGTATTCAGCGGGCGATATCGCCGAGTACAAAACAACCTAATAATGTCCTACTTGATTCGGGACGATCCATATCATGTAGGTCACTTCTTACAGCAACTCTGCAGTAATACAAACCTGAAAGCTTACTCCTTGAACCTAACAGAACTATACAGCCACTTGGATTGCAGTGTAAATTTCCTTTGTACTCGTGTATGCCACTCCTGGAATGCTCTCCCTGAATCAGGTGTTTGTGCACCTATATTAACTGTATCTAAAAGTCGATTGGATGGAGCACTCAGGCACTCACATTTTCTTACCAAGTACTTGTTCTCCGCCATCCTAATATAAAATATATTTTATGTACTTTAATGTCGTCTGTTGATGCTTTTGGAACCACACGGATTGCAGGACAAATGCACAGTAAAAGATAAGTCCTCCTTTTGCTAGTAACAGTAGTAGCTGCATCGTTTTTTTAATGTACTTCGATAACCCCACCAAACCACTCAACGGGGCTTGTACAATATTACTTTTCAATTTGCGAAATGTCACTGTTCATTATTGGACTTGGTTCGTCGTCTCAGTAACGCCTATCACATATACACAGAATACGTTAGAGTTCAAGGATGCCAAAATAAAGGAACTGTAAAATCCTAGCGGCTTTGTTGGAAAATGGGTGCGAGATATTGAGGGATAACTTTATGACAGGATTGCATCCGCCAGAAACGAGTACTATTCTGGGCAAAAGTAACAAACGGTTATTCTCTGTGGATGTCACAGATTAAATGAATAATTACTCGTTCGGTAGTATACAGCCAGAACGGGGCGTTTTTGCTGTGACAAATTCTTGGCGGTCAACCTCACGGTCGCCGTGAAATTTAGAACGAAATATCGATCAACTTGCAGTCTGATTTTCATCGAACTGAACGTAAGCTGAAAGTCACAATTGTCTTCCACAAACCAGACGTTCATTCTCGCATACGCCTTCTCCTGTTTCCGTCCGCTCAGTTAGATTGAACTGTTTTCGCCTGAGCAGGCACATCGAACGTGTCATTCAGTTTGAAGGGTGAAACCCAGGAGCAACATGGGCAGAAAAACGCACATCCGTTTGACATGTTTATGTCGTAGTGTTATAGCTGATGTACGCTTTAAGTGACCAAAAGCATAAAGTTGTGCACAGAGACGAAAACATTTGTGAACTGATTGGTCAAGTATGGGCTAGTTTGCCGGAGCCAACTGATCATTATGGACTAAAAATTTGCTTACTTGTTACGTCATGTTAAAAGGGATGCTGAATTTCATAAACATGTCCGTCAGATTTATGTAGCTCATCTTAAATGATTAGCTATAAATCAATCGTTTAGCAGAAGGTAATGGAAGTTTGCCTGTATGAAAAGGTCTACTTAAACTGTATTGCATCGTGCTTTAGCTCACTCTCTCTTGTAGTTGGAACTGTTAAATATGTACAGATTATCCTATACCCCCGTAAGGTCACTTTCTGAACACTCGTAGGTAATGAACAGTGATTAGATTAGCGTCCGTTTCAGAGTTTCTTGGCATATGTAAATAGTGGAAATTAATATATGCTTAAACATAACCTATCTGATTGTAGACCGATATCTCTTTGGTCAGGTGACCAGTGGGCAGTAACCACGGAGTGAAGCGGTACAAAAGTACGAATAAAAGTCAAGTAAACTATGAATCCTAGGCGGATGGGATAGAGCGATATCTAACTGTAACATATACACACATTCAGTGTTAGAAAGAAAAGCCAGATGCAAGTGAACACATGTTTGGTTAACTACTAGCAATGACAGTAATCTGCCAAGTAATATACAACCCTAATATCGTGACACAACCCTACTAGTGCATTCCTGAGCGAGCAAGTTCTGGTTCAGTAAGAAGCCAGCTGTATTCTTCTGACCAACTCAAATATATCTCTGCTTCGTGTGCCAGATGAATCTGATCCGCATACATACAATTTCTTGTCGGTGCGGTTTTTCGAACCAGCCTGTACATACTACTTGATATTAATGGACACATTACTTTGGTGGCCTGCCCACTACTTTAAATGGCCCACTTAGCTGATCAGCAACATCATAGGAGCAGTGTGAGCAGGGGGCAACCCAGGGTTGGTAATTATTCGCCGCATTAAATAAAGAGGGACTAAAGAGGATCGCAGCCAGAGCGCTTGTAATAGCAGCTTCTGAAGGCTTCTGAAGCTTTGTTCATATGATGTGACCAAGATGGTCAAGAGTTTGGAAGACATCGGGTCGCACTGTCTACCTACCTTCTGCACTAAGCGTGATCGAAATTCTGGCAGCCTTATTCTGCGTCATCTAATGAAACTAAAAGCTGTTGAGAATAGACTTCTATCCCCATCACTTATCGATTTTATTTTATAACGGCCGTAGCCCAAATGACAAAAATTCTCGAGTTTACAGTGTGCCAACTTTTTTTCTGAAAAGGTAAGTTACCGCCCTTACAATCCTTCCTTCTAACCTTCTTGACACCTATAAACACAGAACACATTGTAACATTAGTAGGTTTCGGTAGTGTATGGGCTCAAAGCTGCCTTTCGGGTTGTGCCTAAGGACGCTTTTGAATATGACTATGAAGAATGCTAGTGCCTCTAGCATCCCGGTAGTGCGGTGAGTTTTACTATCCAAAGCCAGAAAACTAATATCCGCTTGGCTTATTACCCTGTCATCTTTCGTGACAGCCTAGTTACTGAGTTATCCAAGTGTCGTTAGTAGGTTAGTCTACGTTAGCTAAACGATGCGGGCTAATTTACGAAGCCAACAGAACTCATTTCCTCGAAACAATGCCACAGTGGCATCCGTTAGGTTGATGTGTGTTAGCTCGGAATCCACACTCTGCCCAGTTACGGCGGTAACCGAGTAGCTACGCGCCTTACATTTATTGTATCATCCACATGCGCATGCTGTCCAACGGGGGCAGATAAGGTGCATTGGTACCAAGTCCATTGAATGCATAACGATATTTGATGTGCCAAACACCGCTGACGAGCGGACGCAAAACATTCAGTGAGTAATAATGCGCAAGATTAGATTTGACTCAGTTCGGTGGTACAAACGCAACTGAAGCATTCCTCTTTACTGATGCATCCAAATGACTATACTTTTCTTACTGCACCATGTCTCGTCATGCTTTGAGTTGACTGCACAATGACATCTTGGCTGTCGGAAAATAGTTTCAATGTAAACCTTATAGTCATCTGCCACTATTAGGACAACCACAACGCTTTCTAGGATTATTCATGGTAAAAGCAGCGCATGCTATTGTGATATTGGAAACAACTCACCCTCTTTGACCATCCCAACTTTAAGACACTTTTGAAAGCGGCAGTATTGACACCGATTTCTTCGTCGTTTGTCAATAACGCAGATTTTCGATTGCAAACAAACGTATTGCGCATTCTTCTGAATTGTACGCTGTGGAAGGATACGTACTACACTAGATCATTACTGAAATAATAAAATGTTCAAAATTGCTTTTTATCTGTTGATTACATATGAACCAGGCCAAGCAAAATAGTAGTAATAACTGGAATCAAGCCGACAATTTCGCTACATTTGACTGCATGCGCACTCAGAGGCAGAATTTGCTCAACCTGTGGTGAAGCTGCTGCTGTAGAATTTCTTCGAGCAATCAACTGCTTCAAGTGTAGTCATGCAAAACTATTTCACAATGTATGAGAAAGTCTTTAGTTTGTATTTACTGAGCATGGGGAGTATCTCTTCTTACCTACATGAGAGGTTATCCATTTATTCTACATATTAGCTTATGGTGAGTAACAGTTCACATATAATGCAGCAGAATAATTCAAATTGTGACAGTCAAAACAAGGGGAAAAACAACAAAGTATAAGCAAAACCTAACAGTTATGATTCTTTGTTTTACATTAAGCATTGACGTCAAAATGGTGATTTGAAGCGAAGGATTAGAGGTTTGGATGGATAGAGTAAGCCACAACACAAGCTCTACTAAGCTCGCTTCTTCGCCATGTCAGTACGTGTAGCCGGCCAAACGTGTTGATCGCATTTCAGACCTCAACCCGGGAGTCAAGAGGGTACAACCAAAGCCAGCCTCGAAATAACAGCCTTTATTTCTCTTGATCAAGTCACTGTCTGACCCCCCACTCTCCTTCTCCATATATTGATCCATAGATCGAAGTCTCAAAATGGCGCACGTCGCAGGAGTACGTGTGTTCGCATGCGTAACCCAGGACCCAGTTAATGGTACATGGTGCGTGAAATAATAGCGTCGTGTGGTTCGATTGCTATTTCTGCACCAAATACAAGACGCTCAACACGTTCATTGCTCACGAGGTGCTCCCACCGGAACTGAGTGTTGTAATGCTGCACTGCTTCGCCTGTGAGGAAGCGGCCGCCTATCTGTTCAACCACGCGACCAAACAACCGCAAGAAACCAAAAACCCAAGAATCGTAGACAGGATATATTCTACAGGATAGGCCGGCTCGAGCTCTAAGCCTTAGATTATTAGGGCTGGATACCTCTTGTATCATGTAGCAGATTCATCATTCTGTGGCATTCATTGGTCAATTCTTGCAACGTAACCACAGGGTTTTGCTCGATTCTGATCATAGAATCCTTGTTCCAACATCGGCATCTTTGGTCACTAGCAGACCATAAACATAAGTGAGACACTTATACTGATCGCTTGACATCTTGTGAAATTTGGAGCGTTCACATTCGTGGTTCACGTGAATCGAATAGCTAACCCAATCTTCGTTGACTCTGTTGGTCATGGCATGACATTTGTAACGAATGTTGCAAAGCGAAGTTTGCTCCCCACATATCTGAAACCAAATCACCACGTCATCGAACGGAAAACCAGTGCTCTTCTTCGATAAGGTGAAATTTGTGTACTTTCATGCTCGGCCGCACCCAGTTTCTGTAGTATGAGGCGAACTGTATTGTCCTCCGAGACCTTGGCCAAATAAACGCGAAATGTGTATTCGTATTTGTGGAACCAGGAATCAAAAGTATTAGTAGCATCAGCATCGTAACGGAACTCACAGATTTACTTCATCGATGTTTCTAGTGAGGGGACACTTCCACTTGCCTCTGTTACGGAGTCTAGTGGTACTGACAACTTCTTCGTCAATTTTTCAATCAACGTGGCTTGTGATTTCTCGAATCGCGCTTGCTGTTGCCACAATAGAGCCTGCAATTATTCAAAACTAATTAACACTTTTGAGGACTTCTGACTTCTGTCGCTACTGTTGTACTGCTCTGTTGCTTCGCATGTGCGACCGTCTGTCTGCTCAACCACGCGACCAAACAACCGCAAGAAATCAAAAACCCAAGAATCGTAGACAGGGCGTGTTCTACAGGATAGGCCGTCTCGAGTTATTGATGAACCATGATTTTGGAAAGCATGGTCACTCAATTCTCGGCGTCTGGCCATTAGCCAGTGTGAGCAAGTTCCGTTCCATTGGTTTGCCACTAGTTTGGCAGAATCGTTCGCCTCGGTGCTTGACTCTGCTCAAACTCCGGATGCCGGATTGAATTCGCTAGCCAATCAATTCTCGCTTGATTTCCAAAGTTGGCGGAATAGGAGAACGCGGTTGCTCGCCAGTACACATGGCCTCCACATGCAGCTGACTGATCACATGCTATCCGGTGAGCTGACGCGCCCTGTAGCCGCCGCGCAGAGTGACTGCCTTGTGTGTACTCATTGAGTCCGCTTGGGTCTCTATTAATGAGCCGAAATGTGAAGGTACAGTAGTCGGGCTTAACAAGCCTGTGTAGTCCGTCGATCTGATGGGTCGGCTTATACCACCGTACAGTACTTTGAACGGACGGCTGAATTTATAGTCTACGCCTCAGCACCAGAGTGAGGTCGCGCCCGCACCATAATTGGCAAAGTCGAGCGAAAGTGTCTCGAGGTTTGACAGTATGGTTTGTGAATTTATCTGTTCCACGGTGGCCGACGCAGCTGCCCAGGTAGTTGAATTTCCGAGTGACTTCTGGCTGAGCCCTAGCAACTATTAGGTCAGGAGAAGGTCCCTGTCCATCGCGGTTGCAAGCTTCACATTTACAGGGTCCAAAGTAAAACCCAAACGACTGACAGCTACGGTTACTCTGTCCAGTGCAGCGTGGCATATTTGTGAGCCGTCACAGATTAGGAGTATATCGTTGGTATATACTGATAGGAAGTCGACCATCTGGAAGCGGCTCCACAGCATACAAATCGTGCAGAATGAGCACAGTTTCCATAACCCCTTAATAGTGAGAGTAAAGACGAAAAGTCACAGCTGGCGCCCATGTCTCGTACTGACGGAGATCTTGAGGAGCAGCGACACATTGCCTTCACTCTGCCCGAATAACGCGCGTAAGGAGGGGTGATGATATTTACATACTTATCGTGGACATTGTAAGCAAACAGTTCCAATGGTGACATCCATCTACCGAAAGAAGGCACCTTTGATATCGAGGAACACCAGTACGATGGGTCGCAAATATAAGTTGTAATGCTTTAACGACTGACGTAAACTGGATGTGATCAATGTATCCTTGATTCCGACGTAGACCGGTCTGCTCTATAAACTCTGGCATTTATGGATGCCATCCAATCTACCGAAAAAGACAGAGACAAGTTACGTGGAGTGAATTGGGATCAGATCTATCCATATATGATTATTGCATTCCGCATGTGAGTTCGCATGACGTTCGGGACAATAACGGGACAGCTGCACTATGTTAGGACACTTCAAATCTCTCATGTTTCCCACAAGAGTAAATCCTCTGAAGTCGTAGGTGACTTGCGGCAGATCATCTATTCCCGCGGCACTTTTCGATTTCTACAGTCCGATCTCACATTCGACCTCCGCGCGAGGGGTGGATCCAAAGGGACGGCTGTGAGAGTAATGTAATCAATGTCAGGCAACGGAGCTGGTAACTCTGGCCAATAACTTTCCTTTTCAAGGTACTCAGTCCAGCGCTCCAAGTTTTAAAATCACAAATGGGCTGTCTCAAATCATCGTTTATAATATGGTCGCCAGCTCTCTTGTTGCCCGTGTCAAACTGAATAACTTTCAATAGTTAACGAGGAGAGCGGCTGTCTCCAGTTTCCACGCTAGATAAGATCACCAGGATACGCAATCTCCCTTCGGGCTAACCCGCAATTTTGAGTCTCGTGTTCTCTGCTAAGCGGAAAGTGTCAGCCAGCATCGAGAAGTTCCCGAGACAGAGTAAATCTCAGTTGTCCAGGTCGGTAGTTGGGTTTACTACAGGAAGATATTCTTCCTGCCAATAAGGTTAGGTAAATTTGTAAACAGTGTCCTTCCAACGAGAACACGTAAGTAATCCGGTTGGAAAGTGTCTGCGCGCTCACCGCGTCATCCGGAGTGACCACCTGAAGGCAACCTCAAGTTGGCCCACAAGTAGATGATCGGAGTTTACAAATGGGTACCAAATAGAGTAGCAGTTCTGGATGCAGCCTCTTCAATGCTAAATAATGACAACCTGGTTCACTTGCGTTCATGACTCTTTCGAGGCTGTGAATGCCATCTCACCCTCGGAAATTAATGTTCCCGAGAAATAGACAGGCATCTTAGCATAGCTGTAACGACCGGTCACCTTTATCATGGCACGACGTGTTGTTGGCCACCCACTTCCATTTTCTCAGTAGATAATTTTACAACTTGAGGTTTCAGTTCATCAGGAAGTACTACAATATTCGTGCTTCGTCTGTGAGGAAGAAACTCCCTTTAATTAACAATAGAAGCCATCATTCACCGAGTTAGTGCTACAGTTTGTAGGGTCAAACATCGCAGTGATATGCGTACACCTGTTTACCTCTCGCGACTTCGAGGATTTGAACTAGCTAGCTAATCTTGGATACCGTCTATCAGAGCAGCTGCAACCCAGGAACTGAGAGCAATACCCAAATCGGCTTGACCGAAATTCAATGATGCATCATCTTCTGATAGACGCAATGAGAAATTACGGCCAGTGTCACATGAATAAGATGGAATGGTGAGCACAGAGCTCGAGCCTTGCAATTGGGTTTCGGATAAGCCGCAAATAATCATCGATACAGCCCATTGTGTTCAGCCAAGTTTTTCTTGGTAATTGATCTGGAACAAAGTGCGCACTTTCGGGGAATGCCAGTCGTAGCGAGGATTGAAGGCTCCAAATAAAGGCAGAACTGTGAGGTTGTCCACTTTGAAGGACGCAGACTTATGTACACGGTCGAAGTGACGTTCCGCGACAGTGTGCGGATAAAACTGGGTGGCAAACACTTATCATATGAGAACATGGAAGGCCGGCAGTTGCGTGTTGAAAAATATAATAGAGCAAACTGTAGTTGGACCAGGATGATAACAATTAAAGGTTATAAAAGCGGAATAAGAAGACGGGTGGTTTTGCGCAAAAGCATCTGCACTTCCATCCACCCATCTCT